ATAGCCAGCCATTTAAAGGAAACTATTAGACGTAGTAATTTGATCATTGGCTTATTGTTGAAATAAGATTGTGTGTCTCTGTCAATCCAGGCGCTTAGAAGGATTCAAAATACAAGTCATGGCTTATGGTAGTTAACAGCAACGACTGGTATTGTACCATGTTTATACCACACTTAAAAAGGACTGTAGTTATAGTCAGTGTCCTCCATTAGAATCCAGTGTGCCATAAGGAAAAGCAGGGTTGGGTGTTCGAATGGTTAACATGTGCACGTTGCATCATAAGGTCTGTGACTGAGTCAAGTGGCGTGGTTTTGATTCCCCGCTTGTATGTGACAAGGAGTAGGATCGCCTGTCCAACCTCATGGGTTTTCCCCAGGTCCTTCTGTTTCCTCCCACTGCAAGCGAATTAATGAAATAAAATTTAACTATATGCTGGTCCCAAAATGACCTAGTTTGTGTTGAGTGGACGTTAAACCCCATCTCTCTCTCTCTATAAGGGAAACTTGGTCCACACAGTGACATTTCCACCTTTTCTTCCTCAAATTCCAATTTCCAAGGGTTCTTTTACATGGGACCTCAAGTTTTTGCCCCATCCAAATGACTAGACACTAATTCAAGTTGCCAGGCGATCCGCAATGCACCAATGACCAAGGAAAACCAATAACCATGCTGAAATATTCCACTGAATCTTTTGAGCTCAACAGGGATTGATGTCCTAGTAGGGATCTTAATCGGCTGTTTTTTGTTGGCTTTAGCTGCTTGGAGTTCAATCAAGACGATTGGTAAAACAATGAACCGGCCACTACATGTATGATATCATAAATCAATCTAGTTTCGGCCAAAATACAACGGGTCCTTCTGTTCGGTTCTGCACTGACTGGGCTAATGAAGACTGACCTCCCTGTTAGTGAGTCAGCGTTTATCAAGCCAACACGACTTCCGGTAAAATTAAATACATGTATTCTTCAAAAGTAATCATATCACACAACGGAACACAGCAATATTTTAATCAACACAGAGTGTGAAGACAATCTTGTCATTTTTCACGAAGATAGTGATTATATTAATTACCCTGGTCAGAAATAGAACGAACAGTGGCTAATTCTGTTATTGGAACATGTGAGATGACTATTGTAATTATTTATATAGCCGGAGGGTCAATTGGTCAAAGCCAATATTGGAAGTCTGATGTACAGAGTTTGTGTATATAGTGATTGTGACATGGGCTATTAACAAATTTTATTGGCAATTCAAAGAGAGAGAGAGAGAGAGAGAGAGAGACAGAGAGAGTTTAACATCCACTCAACACAAACTAGGTCATTTGGGGATTAACATATGGTTCAATTTTAGATCAGGCCAGTTGGGGAGATCAGATTGACAGGGAAGATCAGATCAGCTAGAGAGATCAGAAGGCCTGGGGAGATTGGATTGGCAGGGAAGATCAGACCAGTTGGGGAGATCAGGCTGAATTGTTAGGGAGATCAGACCAGCTAGGAAGATCAGACCGTCTGGGAAGATCAAACACATGTATTATTAGGGAGATCAGACCGGCTGAGGAGATCAGATCGGCAGGGAAGATCAAACACATGTATAAGGGAGATCAGAACAGCTGGGGAGATTAATCCAGTTGGAGAGATCATGGAATATGCTTAACTTAACCCTAACATAGAGAAGCTTTCAAATATTTTTTTTTTTCAAATAAATTATCGATCTAAAGTAACAGTCCATTAAACACCATTTATCAAAAACTGATAATTGTCACATCGCCCATTATCACGATATTTAAGAAATTATTACGAGTAATCATAGAAAAATAAATTGAGATCATTATACATCATTATACAAGTTGAAAGATGGTGGAAACATTAGTGAGGCAGAAGATACAAGTCAAGTGCATTCGACCATTTTGAAGCTCTTAAACTAATCTCATAAAATCAAACAGCGTCATTGAAAATTAATGATTTCATGACATTTAGAAAGTGTTTATAAAAAATTTGTTAAAATCCATCTACTGAACAGAGAGAGAGAGAGAGAGAGAGAGAGAGAGAAATGGAGTTTAACGTCCACTCTACACAAACTAGGTCATTTCGGGACTAACATATGGTTTAATTTTATTTACATAATTCGCTTGTGCATAGGGGTCTTTAGCAGTGGGAGGAAACCGGAGGACCTGGAGAAAACCCACAAGGTTGGACAGGCGACCCTACTCCTTGCCACGTACAACCGGGGATTCAAAACCACGCCAGTCGACTCAATGACAGACTTTATGATACAGCGCGCTCACGCTAACCATTCAGCCATCCACCCCCCCCCCCATCTACTGAACAGAATTAACTAATTTTTTAATTGGCCTGTACATGTATTTGATACCTGTTATTTGTTCCAATAGAATTATAGAATCCCCAACTGACCTTCCTCAAAACTATCGGTAATTTCAAATGTCAGTGAATTCACTGTTAACAATTGTTAAAATATTGTTGGAATTTATTAGGTAGGCTACGAGGCAGGGGGGGGGGCCTGAAAAATTGTTTTGCCCCCCCCCCCACCCACCCCACCAAAAAAATAATTTGCCGACCATAGCTCTAAAATACCTACTGTAGACTGTGCTGGGTGCCCCCCCTAAAAACTTCAGTGCCCCTGGCTACGGGGTTGGATGCTACCATAACTAAAACTTTATTTTGTTGAAATATTCTGATGTCAACACACTTGTTCTACAAGACTTTCATTTAAAACTGCAATTCCGTAACCATGAAATGTAATTAAATTACCAGAGAAAACAAGTAGCAAATCGATTAAAATAACAAATTTGCCAGAACATAAATTTGCATTGTGTTACATCTCATGTCCTACTGTTCTGCTCCAACTGGGCTAATGAAGATGGGCATAGGTCATACAGTGTGCTATGAGGGAAAGTTTGCCCGGGCAGAAGCACTATGGCCTACTCTTATCGAATTCATACTACCAAGGGATCTTTCATGTGTACGCCAATGTGCACATGGGACCTCAGTTTATCATACCATCCAAACAACTAGACAGCTGTCCTTGTCAGGCCCTCCATCCTGCACCACTGACAAGGGAAAACCATGTCGGAAAATCCTGATGAACTTTCTCGGCCAATGCAGGGATCGAACATCGAACATGCAACCTCCAGGCTAACGAACCAGCGTCTTACCCACTTAGGCACCGTGGCTTCCTCAATTCAATCGTACATGTATATAGTGTTACGGGTACAGCGATTCAAATAGCAAGTGTAGGGGGACTGCACCACACATAATTTACACAAAAACAAATCTATGGACAAGACACAATACGCAGAAATTGCAAACAAACAAACATATCAAATTAAGTGAATGGATCCGGGAGCTAGCCATAAGCGTCCACTGTGCTGTACAGTCCCGAGCCTGCGGTGATTCAATGACATATCGTGTTACATCTGATCTATTCAATGATAGACACTGTATCTATTCAATATCATGTTACATCTATTCAATGATAATATAATTATTATGATACAACAATAGGGTGCCCCACCATAAATATCTCTAAATATCTCGACAATTAGAACACAATATTTATATATACATGAAACCTTAAATCAGTTTCAAACATTTATAGTCACTTAATAAACGGTCATGCTGTACTTCATCAACTATGACCATTTAATCATCCATAAATAATACACTGAAAGATGGTTCCGAGTGTCGCCCATAACATCCGAGCACGCGCGAGTAAAAAATAGGTTACGTGCCCGTGTTTTGAAAGTAGTCTCGCTTAACCAGTCCACCGACCATTCTATGTTTGATTGACAGGCCGGGATAATCAAGACTATTTTTTTTACGAAACATAACAGAAAGCTGGAACAAGAAATTGAATTTAGATACACGCACATTGGGCAACTCAACAATTGTTTTAAGAACCTTGTAAAAGTAAAATGAAACTACTGCTAGTATCATGTTCTTGCCCAACACAAGTATTTCAGAGATATTATTTGTACTAAACCAAAAGATGACGCTTCTAACGGTACAGTTAATGATAAAGCAATTTAAAAAATAAAACGAAAGTAAATTCTAAAGCTGCTGTAATAACCAATCAGCTAAATATTACTGCTATTCAGAATCGTCAACAAAAGATTTTTTACGGCTGTAATAGTTGATAGATGTGTAGAGGATTGCACGTGCGATGGCTATTTATAGTCTTATAGACTCTTCCGCTGAGCAATATCATCCTGCGTAGTAAGTGAGAAATCACTTCGAGACAAGCCACTGAAGTGTGTACATTTGCCGTGTCGAGTCCAACTTTCTGTACAAAACATTTTTGGTGCACGGGTCACCCTAACAACAATTCAATGATATATTTCAGGACCAACATATGATTCAATTTTACGTGTATTTCAATTATTCAATCGCTTGTACGAGATTTTACTAGTGGAAGGAAACCAGAGAACCCGAAAAAAAACACATGATGTTGGACAGGCTACCTACTGCAAGCTTGGAATCGAAACCACACGACTTGACTCAATGACAGCCCTTATTATCCAAAGCTTGCACGTTAGACCACTAGGCTGCTATGTCTGAACATGCACATGTCACAGGTTTTGTCAGATCACAAATTATTACACATATATAAGGGTGGACATAAGGCACCTGTCGAAGACATTGTCAAACACAAATTATCACAATGCAGTGGTTCTCAACTTTTTTTGCTAACGGCACACCTTGGAACACATGAAAAAATAGCAGCACACCTGGCTAAATATATATATGAAAAATATTAGAATTTTGCAAAAAAAACCCATGGCACTTCATATACCGCATACAACCGTAAACATGACGCGACACACTGGTTGAGAATCACTGACAGAATGTATAATAAAAATAATAAAAACTTGCGATAATTTCTGTTTGACAAAGCCTTTGACAGTTTCCTTCTGTCCTGGCTTGTAGGCCACCCAACTCCCTTTAATTTATACATGTCCAAGGAACTATCAGTATCATACTTACCAAAGTTAAAATAGGCAATAGCCAAACCAATGGCAATAAAGAAGCCATGTTTAATCAAGGCTGATTGATGATAGACATAAGCTCTGTACAGAAACGACAAGGGATAACCTGAAAAATTAAAATTTTAATTCAAATAAACAGTACTCAGATGTGCATGGACTTTAAAATAGCTTCCAAAAGTTAAGTACATGTAGGCCCTACTATGTAGCCAGATATTTGGTTATGGTCAAAGTTCAAATGACCAGCTAGATGTTATATTGATATTATTACTTAGGATACATGTAATACTATAGTATCAAAACAAGTGTTGATAGTATGAAATGAAATGAAATGGGGTTTAACGTCCTACTGTTCTGCTCCTATACTGGGCTAATGAAGATGGGCATAAGCCATACAGTGTGCCATGAGGGAAATTTTGCCCGGGCAGCGGCACTATCGCCTACTCTTATATCGAATTCCAACTGCCATGGGATCTTTTACTTGCATTCCAATGTATACACGGGACCTAGGTTTCACGTCTCATCTGAAGGACTAGACAGCTGTTCTTGTCAGGCAGTGTTGACAGTAGTTTTGTTTCCCTTATCATGCCAAGTCAGTGTTTATAATGAATTTTACTATTTTTAGTTTAATAATTAATAAAGCTTAAAAATAATAATACTCAGTTATCCTTCCATTAGACTAGGCCCTACATGTTGATTGTTGTTTCGATGACAAATTATGCCTATCTTTTAGAAAAGTAGACAATGTTAAAAAAACAAAAAAAAAACATTTCTTTTATAAAAAACAGCAATAACTACAAAAGGTCAGATTAGGTAGTAGGTAGCAAAAGACGTTAATGATCCAAATTACTGATAAAGAATAACATCATAACAAAGGTCAGGCCTAGCAGAAGTGGGGAAGGTGTAAAATTACTAGAAATTAGACTAGTAGAAAATGAATTGAATAATCATGAAAATTGGACATTGCATTGGATCAATTGGTCTCATTATTCTCGCCTTTCACAGATAAGAAAATTTATCGTGATAAGAATACCTAAACTAAAAGCAATATTTAGGCATGTTTGTCACTGACTCAATTCATGACTGACTGACTGTTGATCGTACGATTATGATCTGCTGGCATGTTTATCAACGCGTTTCCCCAGTCACTAAAAAAAGTAGAAATTCTCACCTGCTAAAAGCGACAATAGAAGTCGGATGGCGTCATCTGGGGTACCAATGGCACTGGCAAGAAACTCTACAAATCCCCGAGCCATACTTTATCAACACATATCCCGTCTATCTGCTAACGTTTCTATTTTCTAACACGAGAAGATATTGTTTACCACGTACAATAATTTGTGTTTAACAATTCATCGTGACCGCCTGCGACCTCAGGGACCATTCGTTGGAGCAATGTGCAAGGGAGCATTCATTTCATACTGTAGGGCAAGTCTGAATTTGCCTAAATTCATTATGATTTATTTGTGTGACTTTTAGAAACTGAACCCCAAGGAAAGATGAAAGAAAAGTCATAATCTTTGTCTTTGGCCATGGCAATTTAAATTCTGTTATGCACAATCTGGATAGTATGTCAAGCAACAGCGTCCTGTCGTTAGGATGGGACAAAAACAGAGGTCCCATATAGGCCGTAGTTTCGCTTTCCACTCCAGGCAAACATTTTCTGATAGAATAGTGCAATGCGTATGCCCAGACGGAGGGCCCGGCAAGGACAGCTGTCTAGTCGTTCGGATGGGACGAAAAACCGAGGTCCCGTGTACACATTGGCGCGCACGTAAAAGATCCCTTGGCAGTTGGACTTCGATATAATAAGAGTAGCGCCGCTGCCCGGGCAAAATTTCCCTCATAGCACACTGTATGGCGTATGCCCGTCTTCATTAGCCCAGATTAGGAGCAGAACAGTAGGGCGTTAAACCCCATTCCAATTCAATTGAAAAATCCATTTCCGTTCATTTCACATCACGGTCTACTATTGTTGCAATAAACATCTTATTTATCTCTTTATCAATATCATATAGCCACACGTGTCGCAGTCTTTGTCTACTTCTCTTTTTTTGTAGAGAGACAACTGAACTATTAAATATGCATGATATTTTATTATCTTTTACATGCGCACGTTTTGTTTTGTATTTCCATATATTATGTACCATGTGGGTTTTATACTGTCTCGTTATGTAAATTGATACTTTTCGTATTTTCCTATAATATAGGCCTATGTATCATGCATGCAGGTTTTATAGCCTCCTGTCTATTTATATGGGTGCTCTGAATTCATGTCCGTCCACATTTTTGTTCCTGTCCAAATTTCTGTACTTGTATTTAATACTCTGTATATTGTATGCCGTCCTCAAAGGACGTTCCAGTGCAAAAATTCTCCTTCTTCATACAACGGTACTAGTGCGATCGTCTGATAAATCTTCAAACAATCAACTTTTTCATCAATAATTCATCATCTTATCAGATCTTACTTATGTTTCATTCTTGAAAATGCACCGGCGTTTGTTTTATATATATATTTTTGTTGTTGTTGTTTTTGTTGTTGTTATTTAGCTCTAGAATTTAACTCTCTTTATCAAACTTTATAAATCAATGTAGGTGACAAATTGGGTTAAAAAGAAATGCAAATAAAATGAGTGGTAAAATATGCAAGTCTATTTTACACAGCCTATATTTTACTTTGCTCGCCATCGTGTAGACGCGACCTCGGTTTTCGTTCCATCCGAACGGCTTGACCCTTTTCTATGCCAGACCATCCTTCCTGCGTCACTGACAAGGGGGAAGCACGCTGCTGGAAATTCCGGGGAAACTTTCTCGGCCAACGCCGGGATCGAACCCATGGTTAGGGAACCAGCGCCTTACCTACTGAACCAATGGCCTCTTACATTTTTTTTTTATATAAAACAATATTTTTTATTCATGATGTCTGAATGAGATTGGGAACAGACTTAGCCTATGTAAAACCCCTCCCCCAAGATAATATACATACATAATATTAATACAAAGACAAAAACACACATATATTATTAAGTATGTCTTTGCCATTGCAACTTTTGGATATATATATATAAATTATGTAGTTTCATTTCGCCATAATATATATAATTCTACACAGCCCTATTTACTATAGCGCAACCGTAAAGCTACACTACTTTGTTTCACGGTAAACGATAAAAGATAAAAGGTATGCCACACAAACTGATTTAAACCCTGATTTAATATCATTTTAAAGTACTTTTTATAGTATATTTATACATACAGTATTTACATAGTAACACTGTGGTTTTAATTGGGTATAGTTACCATTGTTTATGGTTACATAGTAGATCTATTGCACAATAACGCACCTTTAACTTTAAAACAGGAAGTGTTTATCTCCCAATTATTCAATAATAATCCGCTTGTAGACGACTGGAATTTCGGTGTGTCATCACAAAGCATAAATAAAACATAATGTAGATTTACATATACACAAAAAAATATTATTCAAGTCTTTTAACAAATCTTGCCCAACTGCTGGACATTAAACCCGAATAAGTTCGTCGCTCATATATTCTCAGTTTTTCGTCCCATCCGAACGACTAGCCGCTGTTCCATGTCAGACAATCCGTCCTGAAACGGATACCACGCCGGAAAACACAGAGGAACCATCTCGACTATAGCACTGGGGCCCGAGGGTCGTGGTGAGCGAGCCAGCCCGACTCCAAAATAGAGAAGCAGTCGGGCAACACCGATGATGTTTAGACATGGAGGACGAGGTTGATTTCTGGAAAATAACACAGAATTTGGTTGGGAGATTGTATAAAATCGAATTTTAGTTGCACAACAACACCCCCACCTGCACCCCACCCCCACTCCCAATAAAAGTACAAAAATTCACTTATTAATTTGCTTCTGTGAAACATGTAAATTTGGGTTTATCGGGGTAACAAGCTGCTAAATTCCATGGTGGCTAAGTGGGTAAGATGCGGCTCGCTAGCTTGGAGGTCGGGTGTCCGATCCCTGCATTGGTCGAGAAAGGTCATGTCAGTGATGCAGGAAGGAGGACCTGACAAGGACAGCTGTCTAGTCGTTCGGATTGGACGAAAAACCGAAGTCCCGCGTACACATTGGCATGCACGTAAAAGATCCCTTGACAGTTGGAATTCGATATAAGAGTAGGCCGGAGTGCCGCTGTCCGGGCAAAATTTCCCTCATAGCACACTTTATGGCGTATGCCCGTCTTCATTAGCCCAGTTCGGAGCAGAACAGCAGGACTCGTTAAACCCCATTTCATTTCATCTACAGACGATGTGTTCTCTTGGGAAGTCGGGGTTATATCATTTAGACACTCGCAATGCTAACTAGGATAGACAACAACCACCCAAGGACAGAATATCACTTCATCATAGCACACTGTATGGCGCAAGTCTGTCTTCATTACTCCAGTCGACACGGAAAAGTATAGGACGTTAAATTCCATTCCATTTGCAATCTGATTAAAATACAGATCTATATTTCGTTTCGTTTTTTTATACTTTCGATGGCCTACACTACATGAAGATCTGACAAGTTATAGCGATAGGTCACGTCAGGAGTCAAAAGACCGACTTATGACCCTATGATGTCAGACATTTGATTAACCAATCAGCATTGATGTTACTAGTGGATTACCCACAGTTCCGTGCAAAACACGCCTAAAGCTCGCCGTGACAGACCGTTTCATTGGCTTATCCCTGGCACCATTCAGAACACGAGTTAAATAACAACTCTTCCAGATCCAAGTGTAGTAAAGACGAGTAAAACGAAATTTTGAACGAAATAGGATCTGTGTTTTAATCAAATTGTTCTATTTCATTTGAGAATCTAAGATTAAAATAATTATATAATAATATTTGATAAAAATGTTAAAATGTATCCAAGATGATAGAACGTATATGTTAACTATAAGTGTATTAGTTACATTAAGTATAAATGCAAACAATTAGTCGAGTCGAAAGATTAGCGCATGAGATATCAATTCGGACTTTGGTCAATTGCTACTTTAACTTTAGCCAAATTTAACTAAAATGTCTACTATATGTGTGTACTATATTGATATATCGGGTGTTCTAGAACTGAAATGGAAATGAACAATGAAGTGAAATGGGGTTTAACGTCCTACTGTTCTGCTCCGACTGGGATAATGAAGACGGGCATACGCATACAGTGTGCTTTGAGGGGAATTCTGTCCGGACAGTGTCGCTAAGGCCTACTGACAAAGGTCAACCACGCCGGAAAGTCGCGATGAACCGCGACTTCCAGGCTAGCGAGCTAGTGTCTTACTCACTTGGCCACCGCGGTTCCTTGGTGGTCCAACAAAAACGAGTAGGCTACACTATTCAAATTGGAATAATTAAAAACATATTGTACGCATGTTGCACAATGTAGATATTTGACAACTTTACTAAAAATTCCAGGTACATCGCTCAAATAGTGTTAAAGAGGCATTGGCTGAGATTAGATAAAGAGCTGACAGTTCTCATTATAATGGTTTAAAAAATAGATAATAACAAGGGAATATGTTGAAAATTTCAGTCAAATTACTTCACTCTGAGCCTAGTTATCAACGATACAATAACACTTTACCACCCTCGATTGTCTCTGCTACTGTTGTTACGATAATAAACAGAGTCTCGATTATCCGGTTTTACAGTTATTTCATCAACAGCAAAACGTATTCAAATCTACTAAATATCGGTGGCATCCGATGATATCGAGAGTTGATTATGGTCTGGATAAGTTACTTGATGTCTAATTTTAATTAAAATAATTTATACCACATTTCAAGCCTAAAGAAAGACCTGCAACAGGCAGATTTAGCTCTTTCATTTTAGCTCTCTGAATAACACAGTTCCAGATTTAAAAAAGAATGCCAAATATGGGTATAATACGTTTTGATTTATTCCACCTTGTATTTTTCAGATCCACCCGATATATCAAAGTATTGTCTTTTCTGCTTATGTTTGAATCCAAAGTATGGATATATTTATGGATGGGAAGAGTGGGCTAAAATGCAACTGAATGATTAAAAGAGTCCAGTAGATCGTTCAATTCACGCACCTCAAGATAAATGTTAACGGAGGCAAGTCTTTAACTCAATATCATCCACGCAAACACGGCTTATTGGCGAATTTAAATCAACTTTGAAGCTGTTTTCTTACCGTGAAAAGATGAGCTTCTGATATCCAATATTTAAGACAAAATGAAAATTTTAAAATTCGCACACGAATCGCTTGCCAGACTGCTTTCGAGTGCCATTTGTAATGCAGTGACTCGATAAACGAGGCTGGACATATCTCAAAAGAGAATACTACTGGTGTAGACTGGAATAACCAGACGCCAAAGACTGTCAT